AGAATTTAAAAGAACAATTATTGAATATTTTCAATGGGTGAAAGACAAACTTGAAGAATTACAGGACAATGCAAGCAAATATCAGGAGGAGCTTAAAAAACAATCCAAAACAATAAAGATAAAACAATCAAGTCATTAAAGGTCTGGAAGAGCAAAAAACCATGATCCAAAATTTAAGTTCCAATGCTTAAGTTATGAACATGATGGAGGGACACATGAACAGAGTTGAAGAGATGGAACACAAAATCAGTGAAATAGAAGGCAGAATTGTCACCACTAATCTGCTAAGGCAAAATGCAGAATCAAAGAGGAGGAAAAAAGAAGGAAACCTAAGAATAATGAAGGACACCATCAAGAGAGATAGCTTGGGCATTATCAGAATCCCAGAACAGGAAGAAGTAAAGGCACCAAAAAAAGCTGTAGAAGAATTACTAGAAAAAAACTTCCCAGTTCAGAAGAATGAGAGAACATATATTCAAAAAGCTAAGAGAACACCACATAGAATAGACTCCAAAAGTAAAACACCAAGTCATATCATTGTCAAATTTCCCAGAACCAAAGATAAGGAGAGAATTCTGAAAGCAGTTATGGAGAAACAAAGAGCAACCTGTAAGGGAGAGCAGTTAAGATTAAGTGCCTATCTCTCAGCAGAAACCATGTTAGCAAGAAGACAGTGGAATGACATATATCAAAAACTCAAAGAACCCAACGGTCAACCAAGGATATTATACCCAGAAAAATCGTCCATCAAATATGAAGGAGAGACCAAGATATTCCCAGAAAAACAGAAACTAAAGGAGTTTGTAAAATTACAAGACCAGTGTTGCAGGAAACACTGAGAGATGTTCTTCCTACAAAGGTGCCACAGAAAGCAGGACAGACCAAAGTAACTAGCAACAACACCAAAAAGAACTCAACACAATGATAGCAATAAAACTGTGCCTCTCAATAATCAAATTGAATGTGAATGGTTTAAACATACCATCAATATGCTGTCTACAAGAGACATACCCTAAAAGTGAAGATAAAGAAAGAAAAATAAAAGGGTGAGAAAAAATATAACAAGCAAATGACAATCAGGAAAAAGCAGGAGTAGAGATATTAGTCTGTAATAAAATAAATTTCAATGCAAAAATCATCACAAAGGACAAGGAAGGTCTCTACATAATGCTTAAAGGGTCAACAGAACAAGAGAACATAACAATAATATTGATGCACCAAATGATAGACCTGCAAAATATATAAAACAAATATTAACAAAACTGAAAAAGGAAATAGACAACATTATTATAGTAGTTGGAGACTCCAATACACCACTCTCAAGGAAAGATAGAACTACCAGGAAGAAACTCAACAGAGATGCTGAAGACTTAAACCACACAATAAACCAACTCAATTTCACAGATATTTAGAAGCTAATATATCCCAAAAAATGCAGTATACCTTCTTCTCCAATGTGCATGGAACATTCCCGAGAATAGATCACATATTGGGCCAGAAGGCAAGTATCAATGAATTAAAAAACACACAAAAAAATACAAAGCATCTTCTCAGACCACAATGCTACAAAATTAGAAATTAATAACAGGAGGATAAAGGAGAAAAAAATCATACATTTGGAAGTTGAACAACACCTTGGTTGAACATGAGTGGGTACAAGAAGAAAAAAAAAAAGAAATTAAAAAGTTTCTTGAAACAAATGACAATGAAAACACAACTTACCAAAACCTCTGGTAAACAGCCAAAGCAGTACTCAGGGGTCATTTTATAGCAATAAGCAAATACATCAAAAGGCAGGGAAAAAAAGAACATTGATTCTCTAACACAACATCTCTAACAAATTGAAAAAGAACAGCAAAAAACCCAACACCCTCTTAAAAAAACCCTTAAGTTATAGAAATCGGAGCAGAAATATATGAAATAGAAAACAGAAAAACAACTGAAACCATCAACAAAACTAGGAGTTGGTTCTCTTAAAAGGTCAATAAAATTGACAAACCAACTAGCAAAACTGGCAAAGAAAAAGAAGTAAAAGACACAAATAATCAGAATAAAAGACGAAACGGGCAACATCACAACAGAACCAAGTAAAATAAAAAGACTAACAATGGAATATTATGAAAAACTATACTCAAACAAAAAGGAAAACCTAGAGGAAATGGACAAATACTTAGAAATTCACATTCTACGTAAACTGACACCAATCAAAGTTGAACACTTGAACAGACCCATTACAAAAGAAGAAATTGAAAAGGTAATAAAACAACTTCCAGCCAAAAAAAGCCCTGGACCAGATGGTTTTACAAGTGAATTTTATCAAACATTTAGAGAAGAACTGTCACCAATCCTACATAAACTATTTCATAAAAATTGAAAAAAAGATTGAATTCTCACAGACTCATGCTATGAAGCAAATATATCCTTGATACCAAAGCCACATAAAGAAACCACCAAAATAGAAAACTATAGGCCCTTATCTCTCATGAACATAGATGAAAAAGATCCTGAATAAAATCCTAGCCTATAGAATTCAACAATACATCAAAAAAATAATTCACCATGACCAAGTAGAATTCATAACAGGTATGCAAGGATGGTTCAACATAAGAAAAACAATCAATGTAATTCACCACATTAACAAAGATCTTATCAATTGAAGCAGAAAAGGCCTTTGACAAAATCCAACACCCTTTCTTGATTAAAACACTCAACAAAATAGAATTAGAGGGGAATTTATTCAATGTAGTAAAAAGTATATATGCAAACATGAGAGCCAACATTGTCCTCAATGGAGAAAGATTAAAGACAGTATCCTTTATAACAGGAACTAGGCAACGATGCCCACTATCACCTCTCCTGGTCAATATGGCTTTGGATGTACTAGTGATAGCAATAAGGCAAGAGAAGGAAATAAGAGGTATCCAAATTGGCAAAGAGGAGGTAAAATTATCTCTCTATGAAGATGATATGATAGTATACTTAGAAGAAAACCCTATAGATTCAGCAAGAAAACTACTGGGCATAGTTGACCAATTCAGCAAAGTGCCAGAATACAAGATCAACATAGAAAAATCAGTAAGATTTTTCTACAGTGACAAAGAGAATACAGAACTGGAGCTAAGAAAAACAAACCCTTCACAATAGCTAATCATAAGGTTAAATACTTGGGTGGTGCTGGAGAAGAGTACTGAGAATACCGTGGACTGCTAGGAAAACAAACAGATTTGTCCTGAAAAGGGTTAAACCAGGTGGCTCCTTGGAGGCAAGGATTCTGAGGCTCCGTCTAACTTACTTGGGACATGTTGTGAGGAGAGACCGGTCCTTAGAGAGGGACATCATGCTTGGGAGGGTGGAGGGACAGCGCAGGAGAGGAAGGCCCTCTACGAGGTGGATTGATTCAGTGACTGGGATAATTGGGATGGGAGTGTCAGAGACAGTGCGATTGGCACAGGACAGAGCGGAGTTTAGGGCTGTTGTACATAGGGTCGCTATGAGTCGCAGGCGACTCGACGGCACATAACAACAACAAACAACAAATCTAACCAGAAGCACAAAGGATCTATTTAAAGAAAATTACAAATCATTACTACAAAAAACAAAAAAAGACTTGGTGAAGTGGAAGAATATACCTTGCTTATGGATAGGAAGACTCAATATTGTAAAAATGACAATACTACCCAAAGACAATTTACATGTTTAATACAATCCCAATACAAATACCAATTTCATTCTTCAGTGACATGGAAAAGGCAATCTCCTATACAGTGCTGCAATGAAAAACAAAGAACTCATGAAATATTATTCAAAATGGATGACCCTGGAGGACATTATGTGAGTGAAACATTTCAGTCACAAAAGGACAAATACAGCATAGTTCCACTGTTGTAAAACTGAACTAACATTGAGGTTGAAAGGAGACTAAGAAAGAGGGGACAAATAATATATACTGCATTGAAACAGATGAGGGAGAGAACTGTTTAAAAGTGATATATGGTTAGGTATTATTATCATGACAGGAGTCTAGAATGAAGGCTGCATAGTGGAGTCCACTTCGTGGGAGGGATTGCATAACAATGAAAGAATTTTTCTTTAACTTTTCAAAGAGAAGAGCAAATTGGGAGGGAGAGGTGGGTAAGGAGAAAAATGTAATAATGAATGAAAGAAAAAAAATGTATCAATGATTTAATGAAAAAGCCAATATGCTTTGTAAACATTCACTTAAATAATAATAAAAAAGTCTTTAAATGAAAACAAAACAAAAACCACTCTTTTTATTTTTATGCTTTCCTTCCAATTATAAATAAAAGTACTGACATTAAGGGAAAATCCAGCATATTAAAGTAAACCACTAAAAATGATAATGTTCCGTAATTCCATGATCTAAAGAAAGCTGCTATTTAAAGTTTGATGCACATATCTCCTACTCTACCTTCCTCCCAGTGTCCCTCCTAGTGACTCTGTGGATTTTCTGCTTATTTCCATACTTGGGGGAGCATTCCTGGGGGAAACACTCCTGGGGGAGAATTTCGCCAGGATGATGGGATAAGAGGTAGAGCTATTTCTCCTTTCAAAAATGTTATTCCAAATTACACCATTACCAAAATTGCTTAGTCATAATTAAATTTAAAGCTATGACGTGAATCCTCAGTGCTTAGTCAGTGCCTAGATCTATAAAGCACCTCGTTTAACACACTTGACAAAGAGAAATGGAAGAATCCCCTCTGTAGAAAGCTTTCCTTACACATTTAGTTAAAACTCTGTGGTTTACAATATGTTAAATGATAACTATTGGTAAGAACAACAAAGTTCTTTTAGTTTACTGAAAGGCCAAGAATTCTTTCAGACTAAAATGTATTTGACTTTTAGAAAATATACATGGTCTTAACCTTGGTATGCTCCTATCTCCATATCTACATCTTTCCAAATATTAACACTGAACATGCAGATGAGTAAACTCTGAATTGATGAGTCCAAGGAGTTTCCCAGACCACAGAAACTGGGAAATCCAAAAGACTAAATACAATATTTCAGACACATTGGTTTCCAATTTAACTATTTTGAATTCTTTTAGATTCTGAGGATATATGGCCTATGGATATATGTGCTTTGGGATACATGCATATATGGTTGTGTAAATGTGTATGTCGGAGTATTACTGAGGAGAAAAGAGAAACAAAAACCAATCTTTTTTTAATATTAAGGAGACTTGGTGGCATAGTGTGTAAAATGCTGAGCTGCTAAAAGAAAGATTAATAGTCTGACTCTACCTACCCCTCCATGGGAAAGATGGGAAATCTCCTCCCACCAAGAGTTACAGCTTCAGCTTCTGAAAATCAAGAATGAAGTGGGAGGCATAGCACTCCTTGATCTGAAAATCTACTATACAGCTGTAATAATAATTTAAAAAAAATGTGGTGCTGATACCATGACAAGCACATAAATGAAACAGAATAAAGAAGCCAGAAACTAACTCTCTATCTATGGTCAACTGATATTTGACAAGGCAACAAAATCTATCAAATGGGGAAACAACAACATCTTTAAGAAATGGTGCTGGCAGAACTGGAGTGCTTCTGAAGAAATTAGCAGAAAGCCTAAGCACTAACATAAAAATCAACTCAAGGTGGATCAGAGACCTAATGGTAAAGCCTCAAACCATAAAGATAAAATAAAAAAATGGGGCCAATCTTAGAATGCCTAGCCCATGTACAAAGAAGCTGACAAATAAATCTAAAATTATACAACCAGAAGAGGATAAAATTGATGAATGAGACCTTTTATAGATTAAATCCTAGTGTGTATCAAAACATCTTCCAATAGGATGAAAAGAAAACCTAACTGACTTGGGAAAAACATTTGGTAATATCATCTCAAAGAGTCTCATAACAACAAAAAACAGCCAAAAAACAAAACAAAAAGAGAGTATTACAGGCACTCTATAAGAAAAAGACTGATAATCCAATTACAAAATGAGCAAGAGACATGAAAAGACTTTTCACAGAGGAAGATATTCAGATGGCCAAGAGACACATGAAATGCTAAAAAATCATTGGCAATCAGAGAGATGCAAATCAACACTACAATAAGATACCATCTCACACCAGTATCAGTGGCAAAGTTTAACAGGACTACAAGCAATAAAATTTAGAGAGGATGTAGAGAGATAGAAACTCACATACACTGTTGTTGGGACTGTAAAATGGTACAACCACTCTGGAAGGCAGTTTGGCATTTCCTCAACAAGCTGAACATAGAAATTTTATAAGACTTAGCTATTCCTCTGCTAGGAATGTACACTAAAGAAAGTAGAACTGAGATACAAATGGAGATTTGTACACCAATGTTAATAGTAGAGTAATTTATAAACACAAGAACATGAAAATAGCCCAAATATCCAAACACAATCTAATGAATTGAGAAACAATTCACACAATTGAATACTATGCAGCACCCAGGAGCAATGACTGTGAAAAATACTACATAACTTGAGAGAGACTGGAGAGCATTATGCTAAATGAACTAATTCAGTCTTTTAAGGACTGCATAAGATTACTATTGTAAAACCAGAAGGATTAACTAGTAAAATGTGTTTGGGATTCCAGGGGGGAAGTGATAGAGAAGAAGGGTCAGTATGGGCAGGGGGGAAATCACAGAGTCACACAATTTGGTGGGTGGAGGAAGCAGGGTAAAGGAAATTGGAAAGACTCAGTGGGGATCTGGAATTGCAAGGTAATGGTGGGCATAGTTCAACGGTGAATAATTTTAAAAAAAAAAAACAATGAGTGGCAATGATTGTATGAAACACATTGTGAATGAGGGGAAGTATGAAACACAATGTATATGAACTTTATATGCAAATCAATAGTAAAAAGAGTTAGAGCTTCAGAAACCCACAAGGGCTGAACATGATTTGAGGTGGTGGGTTTTCCTAATGAACCACACTGAAATCTACTCTAGGATAGCAAACTAACATCCAATTCTTTCTTCGTCTTTTCACCAATGAAGTCACAAATTTCTCCTCCACACACTATGTTGTGGTAAAGCCCACTGCTTCCCTCCCCAAGTCCTACATCCTCTTAAAAGAAAACTTTTTTTCAGGGTGAGTCCATTCAACTACTCAGTTCTAGCAAAAAGTAAATGAAATAATGCAAGAGAAAATAAAGTTCATGTGTAAAGAGCTGAAGAGTAAATAGCCAAAGAAATAAAATTCAGTGTAGTCTTCAAATCCAGAGTACTACGTATGCTGTTTGAATGGAAAAGTATATAAAAATTAATAAAATCAACAATGTATACAAACTCTGTAAGCAAACCAGTGTAAAATAAAATTATCTATCATCTATCATCTATCTATCTATCTATCTATCTATCTATCTATCTATCTATCTATCTATCTATCTATCTATCATCTATCTATCTAATGTCTAGGTTGTATATATCTTTAAGTAGCTTTGACCAGAAAGCACTTATGATATTAATGACAGAAATTACCTCCCATCCAAGTCCAGCAACAAAGTCTTCATATGCTTGGCTCCCCCTTTCATTGGAAAGGATTGAACACTTATCTTCTTGACCTTCGGCAATGTAAAACACTGCAATTTTGTGTGTTTCACGGCTGTTAATTTAAAAATTTACAGGTGTCAGAATTCTTAAACATAAAATTCTATTTTATTACTATTGTAAATTGATTCCAATTCTGTTTTTGTTATGCGCCATTTAATTGCCTGCAACTCATAGTGATCCTATACACAATAGTTTTGAACCCTGCCCTATCCTGAGTCAATCTCACTGTCTTCCCTACACCTATCCCCATTACTCCAGTTACTGCATCAATCTATCTTCTCATCTTTCTCTCTTGCACTGACCCTTTACCCTTCTAACCATGATATCCTTCTCCAAGGACTGGTCCCTTCTGGCCACACACTCAAAGTAAGTTGTGACAAGAGCTTCAAAATCCTTGCCTCCAAGGAACAACTTGGTTTCACCCTCTCCAGGGCATATCTGTTTGTTCTCTTGTCAGTCTATGGAATGTTCAATATTCTTCTCCAATACCACAATTCAAAGCCATTCATTCTGTCATCTTTAGTCAATGTCTAGCTCTCAGATGTTTAACAAGTAATTGTGAAGACCATGGTCTGGATCAGGTATACCTTAGTCTCTATACTACACTGACATTATTGCTCTTTAGCCCTCTGGAGAGGTCCCTGAAAGCAGAGTTTTCCAATGTAATTCATCTTTAGATTTCCTGACAGCTGATACGAAGAGAGTTGATTGTGAAACCAACCAAGCTAAAATCATTAACAATCTCAATTGATGTTGAACTTCACTTAATAATGAAAACTACAGTCCTTGATCTTTTGCAGTAAATGCTTCAGTTTAAACACGTTTCCTCAGTTTTGGCAAGCAAGATAGGTTGTGTTATATGCATAAAGTAGGTTGTTGATGAGTCTTCCTACAATCCTGACACCGCATTCCTGCTCATAAAGCCCAGCTCCTGAATCATCTGTTCCACATATAGATTGGAAAGGTATAGAGAAAGGATGCATTTCTGAAGCACACTTTTCATAATTTTGAACCATGGAGTTCTTCTGAACCACCTTGTTCTATTCTGACATCTGCTTCCTGATACAGGTATAGGTTTCACATGAGCACAATTAATTGTTCTGGGTTTCCTATTCTTCTCAAGGTTATCCACAATTTGCTCTGCTCCATACACTCCATATACTATGAAAATGCCTTTGCATAGTCAATGAAACACAGAAAGATATTCAGCTGGTACTCTGCTTTCAACCAAGACCCATCTGGCATTGGCTACGATGTCCCTAGTGCCATGGCCTGATTTAATCCCAGCTTGAATTTCTAATAGTTCTCTGTTGATGTAATGTTCCATCCGCTTTTCATTTTTTTAATACTCATTAGCAGGATGTGTTGTCTGTGTGTGATACTAGTAATACTGTTTGATAATTTGCTCACTATATTGGATCACCTTTTTTGGGGGGTGGGTGGGACTAAATACAGATCTCTTACAGTTATTTAGCCAGGCAGCTGCCCTCCAGATTACTTTTTTAAAAATTAAGTTTATAGGAACTTTGGATTTCCATTCATTCATTGTGGTACATTTTCCTGCCTCTCCACTCCTCCCCCAAGTTCGCTTTTTTTCTCTTTGAAAACGAAAAAGCAAATATTCTGGCATTGTTATACAATTCCTCCCTTCCAGAGCTCACTCCACTATGCAGCTCTCATTCTGGCTCTTGTCACGAAAATAATATCATATATTCCGTTTAAACAATTCTCTCCCTAATCTGTTTCAATGCAGTATACATTATTTATCCCCCCTTTTCTTAGTCTTCCCCAAACCCCAGTGTCAGTCCTGCTTTACAACAGTGGCATTATGCAGTATATTTCCTTTTGTGACTGAGATATTTACCTCAGCATAATGTCCTCCAAGGTCGTCCATTTTGTATATTTCGAGTTCCTTGTTTTTCAATGCAGCATAGTATTATATTGTGTGGATATGCCACAGCTTCTCTATTCATTCGTTTGTTGATGGGCACTTGGGTTGTTTCCAAATTTATGCAGCAATAAACATGGGTGTGCACATATCAGCTTGGGTGGCAGTTATGGTTTCTTTAGGGTATATTCCCAGTAGTGGAACTGATGGGTCAAATGGTATTTCTAGTTTGAACTTTTGAGAAAGCGTCATACTGCCTTCCTTTGTGGTTACACTATTTAACACTCTCACCAACAGTGAATAAGGATCCATTTCTCCAAAACCTCACCAGCAATTGTTGTTTGCTGTTCTGTTAAATTTTGTTATTCTTACTGGTGTGAGATGATATCTCATAGTTGTTTTGATTTGCATCTCTCTTAGAGCTAGGGAGTTTGAACATTTCATGTGTTTGTTGGCCATCTGAATGTCTTCTTTGGTGAAGTGTCTGTTCACATCCTGTGTTCATTTTGTGATTGGGTTATTTACCTTTATCTTGCTGTGATGCTTGAGTATACTATAAATTTTAGACATAAGTTCGTTATCAGAATGTCATTAACAGATACTATTTTTCCCAGTCTATGGCTTCCCTTTTTACCCCACTGGAGAAATTTTTGGATGTACAAAGAAATTTGATTCTTAGAAATTTTCATTGACTTATTTCATCCTCTCCTGGTTGTAGGTTTTTCAGAATGCTTGAAAGACTGTTTATGTTGTAGAGTAGTGCTTCTAGACATCTTCAAAGCATTTCTCTAATGAAATTAATAGTCTTTGGTTTCAGTCCTAAGTCCTTGATCCAGTTTGAGATCGTTTTTGTGTATGGAGTGAGGTGTGGATCTTGCTTGAATTTTCTGCAAGTAGTTTTCCAATTTTGTGGATAACATTGGCGAAAAAGACTGTCGTTTCGCTACTTAACTGATTTCATCTCCTTGTCAAAAATCAATTGACAATAGGTAGATGGGCTGATTTCCAGGTTCTCAATTCTATTCCATTGATCTATGTCTGCCATTGAACCAGTACCACGCTGTATTGACCACCACAGCAGTGAAGTAGGATTTGAAATCAGGGAATAAGATGCCTCCTACCTTGTTTCTCTTCTTAAGAAGTGCTTTGCTTATTCTGGGCCTCTTTCCATTCCAAATGAAATTTGAGATTGCCTTTTCCATGTCTTTGAAGAATGGAGTTGGTATTTGTATTGGGATTGCATTGAATGTATAAATTGCCTTTGGTAGTATTGTCATTTTTATAATATTAAGTCTTCCTATCCATGATCAAGGTACATTCTTCCACTTCACAAGGTCTATTTTTGTTTCTTGTAGTAATGATTTGTAATTTTCTTTACATAGATCTTTTGTGCTTCTGGTCAGATTTACTCTCAAGTATTTAACCTTGTGATCAACTACTGTGAAAGGTTTGTTTTTCTTAGCTCCAGTTCTGTATTCTCTTTGTCACTGTAGAGAAATCCAATTGATTTTTGTATGTTGATCTTGTATCCTGGCACTTTGCTGAATTGGTCAACAATGTCTAGTAGTTTTCTTGCTGCATCTATAGGGTTCTCTAAGTATACTATCATATCATCTTCATAGAGAGATACTTTTACCTCCTCTTTGCCAATTTGGATATCTCTTATTTCCGTCTTTTGTCTTACTGCTATCATTAAGACTCCAAATACAATATTCAATAGGAGAGGTGATAGTGGGCATACTTGTGTAGTTCCTGTTCTCAAAGGGAATGCCTTTAATCTTTCTCCATTTAGAACAATGGCGGCTCTCAGGTTTGCGTATATATTTTTTACTATGTTGAGGAAATTCCTCTCTAATCCTATTTAGTTGAGTGGTTTAATCAGGAAAGGGTGTTGGATTTTGTTAAAGGCCTTTTCTAGATCAATTGATAGGATCATGTGCTGCTTCTTTGCTTTGTTAATATGGTGAATTACATTGTTTTTCTTATGTTGAACCACCCTTCCGTACCTGTTATGAATTCCACTTGGTCATGGTGAATTACTTTTTTGATGTATCATTGCATTCTATTGGCCAGAATTTTATTCAGGATTTTTTCATCTATGTTCATGAGAGATATTGGCCTACAGTTTTCTACTTTGGTGGTTTCTTTATCTGGCTTTGGTATCAAGGATATGCTAGCTTCATAGAATGAGTCTGGGAGAATTCCATATTTTTTTATTTTCTGAAATAGTTTATGTAGAATTGGTGACAGCTCTTCTCTGAATGTTTGGTAAAATTAACTCGTAAAACCAGGGCTTTTTTTTTGGCTGGAATTTTTTTAATTACCTTTTCAGTTTCTTATATATTCAGATATTCAATTTCAGTTTGTGTCAGTTTAGGTAGGTTGTGAATTTCTAAGTATTTGTCCACTATCTCCAGGTTTTTCTATTTGTTTGAGTATAGTTTTTCCATAATATTCCATTGTTAGCCTTTTTATTTTAGTTGGTTCTGTTGTGACATTCCCTGTTTCATTTTTTATTCTAATTACTTGTGTTGTTTCCTTCGTTAGTTTTGCTAGTGATTTGTCAATTTTATTTATTTATTTACTTACTTACTTACCTGTTCGAACAACCAACTCCTAGTTTTGTTGATGGTTTCAATTGTTTTCCTGTTTTAGATTTCATTTATTTCTGTCCTAATTTTTATAATTTCAGGTTTTTTAGAGGGCATTGGTTTTTCTGGCTGTCTTTTTCAACTTGTTGGTGACATTGCATTCTTTCCTGCCTTTTGATGTCTGCTTATTGCTATAAATTGATTTATGATTACTGCTTTGGCTGCTTCCCAGAGGTTTGGGTAAGTACTGTTTTCATTGTCAGTTGTTTCAAGACATTTTTTCTTTTCATTTTTTATTTCTTCTAGTACCCACTCCTCTGGAAACCCTATGAACTTGGAGAAATGACATTATACCAGTGTTCATATCTTTCATTCATAGGGATGCTGAGTCGCCTATGACTTGACAGCATTTAACAACAACAACAAAAACAGTACACACTCATTCAAGCAAGATGTTGTTCAGCCTCCAAATGTATGTTGTGTATGTTGTTTTCTTCTTTATCCTCTTATTATTTCTGAATTTGTAGCATTGTGGTCTGAGAAGAGGCTTTGTATTATTTCTATGTTTTTTAA